TTGCTGACGGAGTACCCTCCTGGTGGACTGGGGTGCAACTTGGTGATTGCTGAGCATCTCCTTTCCCTCTCTTTTCCAGTCTGTATCTCTTATCTGGGAAGATTTTATCAGGACCTCAAAGACAGAGATGTCACATTTTCACCATCCTCTATTGAAAAAGAACTTACAAAATTCTGTCAGGAAGCGAGAGGCAAAGAGAATCGGTTGGTGAGTAGCCTGTTCCCCTCCCTGGCTGGCCCTGCCCACTTGCGTTCAGGAGGTGCGCTGTTGTGTCAGTATGCTGGTGTGGGACGCGAGTGCTTTCATGCATCCTGCAGTTAGGATGTTTTTTTCTCGTGTTAGTATTGATTAAGCACCTACTGTGTGCTGGGCACTGGGAGGATCAGTGGGGAGAAATAACAGGCAAATGATGCCATGGGATGAGTGTCCTGGAGAAAATGACCAGGGTGCTCTGGCAGAGAGGGTGGGCGCTGATTTAGGCAGAATAGTCAAGAATCTCTCTGAGGAAGAGTGATCATTGTTTGGGGGGGGGAGCGGGGAAGAGCATCCCCCCCAGAGGGACCAGCCATTGTGAGCGCAGAGGAGGCCATGTGTGAGGAATCGAGAAGACAACAAAGTGGGCACAGGATGGGCTAGGGCCAAATTGAGGACAAGAGCCCTTATAAAACGAGGACTTTTGTAGCTTTAATTTCCCTGGCAGTCGCTGGTTTGTTTGTCTCTGTTTAAAGGTCTGAATCCTGGTAACTCGTAAACTTATTTGGAGGCTGTCAGCTCTGGGACCGAGCATGTATTGAGAGCCCGGGGTTTACACTGACCGAATGTGACCGGCAGTACAGGCAGGGCGTGGGAACAGGAGGCCCTACCAGAGAGAGGTTTTGAGCTGTCAGTGTTGCGGAGGAGAAGGCTCTCAAGTGGAACCGCCTGAAGGCCATTGTCCTCTCTCGCTGCAGTGCTATTACATCGGGGCCACAGAGGACGCTGCCACTAAAATCATCAACGAGGTGTCCAAGCCCCTGGCCCACCACATCCCTGTGGAGAAGGTCTGTGAGAAGCTCAAGAAGAAGGACAGCCAGATCTGTGAGCTGAAGTATGGTGAGTGTGGCCAGGCTTTACGGACCCACCACGGAGCCTCGCGCTCAGGCATGCTAGCTGGGAGAGGCGGGGGAGAAACGAGAGCCACGGCGAGTGCGAGCAGTAGCGGGTCGGGGGGTACGGATCTGGCAGAACAGGCCTCACGGAGGAGGTGGCATTCAGCAGACTTTGAAGGCGGTAGAAGATCAGCCAAGAGGAGCTAATGGAAGAGCATTGCAGGCAGAGGAGATAGGCGGTGGATGACGGGGGGACGGGTCACAGAGGGCCTTGCAGGTTGGTGATTTGGCTTCAGGTCTTTAGTCTGAGTGAAGTTGGGAACATGGTTTTGTTGGTTTGTGGGGGGACCACAGAGAGATCTTTTTTTTTTTTAAGATTTATTTATTTTAGAGGAAGAGTGCGGGGGGGCAGAGGGAGAATCTCGAGCAGGTGCCCCACTGAGCACAGAGCCCGATGCGGGGCTCAGTCCCACGACCCTGAGATCATGACCTGAGCCAAAATCAAGAGTCGGATGCTTAACCAACTGAACCACCCAGCCCCTGGGAACATGGGGTTTTGAGCAGAGAAGGGATGTGGCCTGACTTGGTCTTAATAGGCTCGTCCTGCTGAAGGCCCAGCGATCTTTATTATTTTGAAGGGAAATGCTCTGTGCAGACAGGCAGACCCAAGCGTTCCGGGCGCTGCGGCACCCCTTTTATTGAACAGAGGAAAAAAGCAGGCCAGGTCCTCTGAGTCAGGACCAGAAATAGTTGTCTATAAAATTCAAACACCACCAACATATTTTATTGTGACGCGAGTGTCCAAGGGCCCATGTTTGCCCACTTGTGTCCAGGATGCCTGGTCTCCTGAGAGGGACCTGCGACAGGTGCGGTTGGCTCCTGGTCTGTGCTCACGAGTGGCCACGGGGAGTAAGCTCCTGACCAGGGTCTGTGTTGGGAAATTGGAGCTAGGAGATCTGTCTGTTCTGTCACCCTGGAGCTGTCACTCTACAGTGAGTGACTAGTTGTCAGGGCACCTGGGGGAGTGGGAACCTCATTTCTCCTGTGAGGTTTGTCCTGTAAGGACCACATGGCCTCCGTCCTGGGCCGGGCAGCACTGCACATCCGGGTGGACGCCGCCAGGGTGAGACCAGCCTTCTGGTGAAGGGGCCTCGGGCCAGTTCCTGCAGGTCAGGGCGGTGGGCACTGACACGCACCACAGGTGTCTAGAAATGTCTGTCCCCCTCTGACCAGTAGGGCTGCTTGTTTTAAGGGTTGGGGGGCTGTGCAGGGGTGACCCATCCTGGGACTAGGGGTGGGGGGTCTGTGGCCACTCCCACCAGCTCTCCCTGCTCTTTCCTCCAGACAAGCAGATCGACCTGAGCACAGTGGACCTGAAGAAGCTCCGGGTGAAAGAGCTCAAGAAGATCCTGGACGACTGGGGGGAGACGTGCAAAGGCTGTGCGGAGAAGTCCGACTACATCCGGAAGATTAATGAACTGATGCCTAAATATGCCCCCAAGGCAGCCAGTTCACGGACTGATTTGTAGTCTGCCTGATCCCTGCTGCACCTGAGGGGAAAGCAGCTCACCTGCCTCTTCCCCACAGCCTTTTTGTAATTTATTTTTTAGGCGGGCTCCTGACAATGTCAGGTGTGAAGCCTGGAGCTTTCCTGATGATGCTGGCTCTCCAGCGCCCCCCTTGGGGGGGATTCACTTTGTTCTGTTGCTGGTTTACTCTAGGACTTTAAAGTGTGTCTGAGAATTTTTTATTAAAGGAAGAAAATTTCTAGCTGTCCTTGGAGAATTAAAGTGAATCTGAAATAGGATTTCAACCCTAATGAAGATCCCACCAGTTTATGCTTTCCAGTTAACAAAGAATTGTCTGATACCTTCACATTTGTCCCTCGGCGACCAGGGCTGGAGATGCCAGGGCAGGACACGGGCTGAGGCGTGGGGGGAAGGGGGGCTGGTGCAGGAGTGGAGGCGAGCCCAGGAGGTGGCTGCGCCTGATGCGCCACCCTGAGGTGACTTCGAGTGGAAGTCACAGGAGAGGAGCCAGAGGCCATGCGGCTTCTTGCAGGGCACAGGGGTTGAATCTGGTGTATGAGGGAGGGGCTTTATCGGGGCTGTGCCCAAGCAGGATGGAGGGTCGATTTAGTGTGGCCTTCTGGGAGGATGACCTCAGTAACTGCCGGTGTTTTGTACCATCACATTTCTAAACATGCTCTTGGCCTGGCTACCTCCACCAACCACTGTCCAGATCTGGCCATCTACTTGGTCATCTGAGTTTGTGGCCTCATGTCAGTCCCAAGCTTCTGATGCCTAATTGGGGTTTTGTAAGATTTGCAGGGGTTGGTTTATACAAAGTCAGTGAGAGGCTGCCTTCTGCCTTGTTTACCCAAGGTAAGTCCAACAGTGAAGTCTCTCATCCCCAGAGTCTGGTTTTTCAGTTCCTCTCCGGGGTTGGCTTTGGGAAACCCAATTGTCAGCATGAGCTGTGACTTGGTGGAGACCCCTCTGCTTCTCGGGCCTGCCGAGACCAGCTGAAGGGAAGGACTAAAGCAATGCTTTCCAAGGAAGACTTCAGATCACATCGTTTATGCTGCTAAATTCAGTTTACCTCCATAGGCCCTGTTCCCACCTGCTGTGGCATCCACTGATGACAGCCAGCACATCTTCAATACCTTGTTTCTAGGAGGGAAGCAAGAAGGTTGAGCTACTTCTCGAGCCAAGACTTCCTTGTTTGGAGGAATTAGGTGGGCTATTAAGATCTGACAAAGTGCAGTGTCCTGAACCCCGAACAAGTGCTAGGAAAATCCACAGCTGAAGACAGTAGTCTTAGGAGGTGAATGGCCGTGGCCTACAGGCCACACTGAACACAGGCACAGGGTAAACCAACCACTACCGCTGTAGGGCTGACCCCCAAGGTGATCTACAAAGGGTTAACTCATTCTGGAAGTGGAGTTCAGATCAGGCAACGTTACAGGTGTTTCTTTGTTACAGGTGTTTCTTGTAAGAGCTTTCCCCTTGCACCTGCCTCAGCTGCTCCAGGAGGTGCTTTATTTATGATTGTGGGAGAAGGAACCGGTAGGCTCTTCCCCACCCCCACGGTTTCCTTGCAGAAGTTGGGTCGGTTTTTGCGATGCGTCCAGCAGCTCTCTGGAGAATGAAACCTTCCCAAGGGGGCTTGGGCACCTGGGCAGGATTCTCCCCGCACCTCACCTCTGGAGAAGAGGTCCTGGCCCTGGAGGTGGATGGAAGGGCACTGGTCAGCGAGAGGTAAGCGTGGCAAGCTGTGGTAACTACTGGGTTTGGCCTTCTCTTCGCCCTTGGCTCCGTGGCCCTGCCCTTACAGCCCACCATCTGCTCGGGAGGCCACAGCAGAGGGTGGACCCCGTGGCGCCAAGGAGCCTATTCCCCCTCGGTAAACGGCAGGTAGGTTGTTGGCTCGGGTATCTCTCTGCCTGAACCCAAAAGGGCCTCGCCTTTTGCATTCATAGCCCATGGTCGTCGCGGCCTTTCCGGGGACCGCTGCAGGTGATACCTGAACGCGGAGAATGTCTGCTTTGTGGGGCGTGGGTCCTAGACGGGGCCTAGGGAGCGGCGTGCTTAGGTTCTCGCGCCTGTCGATCCCGGACCACAGTCGGGAGATGCTGTGGTGGGGATTGGGGGGATGCCACGTAAAGAGGCCGCGCTGGGTCAAGACCAGACCAGGGAGCCCGGCGCCCACAGACGCTGCCACTCCCATTCCACGCAACGCGGACCCCCGAGCCGGAAGCCGGAGGCCTAGGGCCTGCAGCCCGCTGGGGTCGGGGACAGTGCTCTCGCGACGTCCCCGATCTCCGCGTAGCCCGGCCCCTTGGCCGCGCGGTGGCGTCAGAGCTCACGCCCGCCCGCCCCGGGATCACGTGACACGGGGCGGCGCATTCCGATGACGCACGCCCGGCGCAACTCTCGCCCCGCCCGCTACGGGGTCACGTGACAGTCCGGCGCAGCCTGATAACGCGACGCTCAGCCCCTGGGCGCCGCTCCCGCCCCGCCCCGCCG